AGGCGCATAGATCACGCACAAATGTGCCGCATCGACCCAACTACTTGCAGCGCTGCCAGCACGGCCTTGCCCGACGTTGCTACCGGACTGGCCGTCGTTGTCGAATTCACTTCACCTTGCCTTGCCCAGTCACTCAGCGACGCCAAAACAGTTTGCTCCACAGGACTTTGCGCCACCCTCAGCTCCCCTGACGCCCGCAATGCCCACGACGTCTTTTTTGGGCCCCGCCGCCTGCCAACCACTGCTGTTCGAAGCCAGTCTGCTCTTTGCGTCGTCAAACCCCATGCCGTCCAGGCTGGCCATCTCGGCGCAATGATCGTAGACCTGAAAGCTGCTGGATTGGATATCGCTGCCCTTCACAGCTTCACCCTCCCCCGTCCTGCCGCTGAGGAATTTCTTGAAGTCTACAAAGGAGTCATGCCCGAGTATACTGCCATGGTCACCCAGCTCGAATCAGGCATCTGTGTGGCCCTTGAAGTGCTGGCCCGACAGCCCTCGGACGAACCCTCCCCCCACGCTGCCCTGCGTCAACTCTGCGGCCCCCACGGTCCGTTTACGTGCTAGCGCCCCTTGCCTCGCCACCATCACAACCCAAACCCTTGCCTTACCCTGCTCTCCTTCAGACCCAGAAATCGCCCGTCACCTCCGTCCCCATACTCTCCGCGCCCGCTATGGCGCATCCAAGGTTCGATGGGCATCCGTCCTTCCGTCTTGACGTTTCCCAGACAACAACCCTCCTGCCCAAGTCATTTTGCACAGACCTGTACGCGCAACTTATCTCACACCTGTCTTTTTGAACAAACAACCCAAACACCAGGTTCTCAATGGGGTGCACTGCACCGATTTGCCGGAAGATGTTGAATTGGAACTAGAGTATTTTTTCGACATATTGCTCCAATAAGCACCGCAAAAGTCGGCTCCTGGGCCACGACGGCACTGCCGCATCTGTTTCAAGTTATCCTCAGCCCAGCAACTTTTGTTTGTCTGACGTGAAGCACCTACTCTTGTGGATTGCTTTCACCGAGCGTGTTTGTTGTATTTCTCTTTCCGTCGTGGAGTCCGCTCCCACTCTCTGTTGAGCAAGGACCAACTAGTGGATCATGTAGTTGCCTGGCCTTCCGCCGTTGTGTGGTGCCTCTCTTTGAACTCTAAAAGGCTCAACATCACGTCTCCTATCCTCTAAAACAAATGACTCTGTTATTTTTATCTTGCCTTCAATCTTCACCCTGAGATTGAGCGCGCCCAGACACCAGTTGTTACTAAGACCGCCAAAGTGGCTGGTTACCACATCTTCAGACATAAAAAGTGTCATCAGCAGCCCCACCTGGTACCACTTTTGCACAAGGACTCATTGAAAGCTACAAATCAAAAGTGCTGCAAAAACGGAACGATGCTCCAAGCTGGTCTCTTGCTTCTCGTGGGTGCCATCACGGTCAGAATGGGAAGAACGCTGGTGAAGCTGCTATTTAGATATCTACGGGGCCATCCTCGAGGACGACCATTGATGCACACGATCAACGGAAGGTCAGTTGGCCGGCGGCTGGCCATCTTGTGCAGCAGGAATTGGGTCGTTGGTGGCGGAGGAAGCTGCATGTTCAAGGGCGTCACACCAGATGCGACGTCCTCCCATTTTGCTATCTACATTTCTGCGAGTGAGCATGGACTTTGCGTCGACAAATTTCGTTTGGTGCCCATTCAGGGATGTGTCTCGCGATGCTTTAAGAGGCAATCTTTCTGCAGCCACGACGTCCGCCGCCACGGCTGAGGCCTTGGACTTGTCCTGGGCCAGCACGAATCGTATGTGAAATCAGATGGAGTTAAAGGCATGAAAATAAGAGAGAAATGACAGGATTTCCATCAGCAAGCATGGTGCACGAGGCAGCCAGCGAGGAGGCAACGATGTCAACCTTTTGTGCCAAAGAAGATATTATAGTAGAGCAGTATCGATTGAGGCGAGGTTGGGTTTGCCAGAGAGAAGGAACGAGAAAAGACGCACCACACAAGGCGAGCCGGCTGCAAAGCTCAGCCGTTAATTCAAAAGCGAGTTGAATCCAAAAGAAATCGCCGCGCAAACCGGATCTGTTGCCGCCTTTTCCTGGTAGACACTTGCTAAGCGCTCCGCAGGCATGATCCGGTAGTAATTCGGATGCGCGGCCGCGTTTCCATGTAGGCGCTGTTGATCCAGCAAAGAAAAAAACCATGAGGCGACATGCCTCGCCCTCGCAGCCGCGTGCAAACTTCAATGTAGGCCTGGCGCATCCTCCATTGAGCTCCGGGGGAAGCCTGCATGTAGCACGACTGTATGTACGGAAATGATGGATGATCTACATCGGCCAGGTTGAAAAAAACGTTGAGAAAGTTGGCGAGGTCGATGATGAGCGGGGATTGGCCGCCCCACTGCATTTCGTTGGCGTGAAGCTTCCAAAGCAGCCAGTTGCTGAGACATCTGGCCATCTCACGCTTGCGGATGGGTTCCGCAATTTCATCAACGCTGCGTTGCAGTATGTCCGTGGTAGCTCGCAGCTCCTCGGTCTTGCGTGCATTCTCCTCGTCCTTCTTCTCCATGGCAGCTCGGAGCGCCTCGTCCTTCTGCTCCATGGCAGCTAGCATGGTAGCTCGATTCTCCTTGTCCTTCTGCTCCATGGCAGCTCGCAGCTCCTCGTCCTTCTGCTCCATGGCAGCTAGCATGGTAGCTCGATTCTCCTCGTCCTTCTTCTCCATGGCAGCTCGGAGCGCCTCGTCCTTCTGCTCCATGGCAGCTAGCATGGTAGCTCGATTCTCCTCGTCCTTCTTCTCCATGGCAGCTCGGAGCGCCTCGTCCTTCTGCTCCATGGCAGCTAGCATGGTAGCTCGCAGCTCCTCGATGCTTCTCTTGTTGCTCTCAGCCTCAGCCTTGAGAGTCGCATGATTCACACCCTCAGAGCACTGCTTGACTGCTTCCTCAAGCTGAGCCACCTTTGCCAACACATCGTGCTGCTCACTTGCAGGCCGATTTTCATCCTTGCCTTTCAATGCCTGTAGCGAATTCAGCTGCATCTTCTGTTCTTGAATGCGCTTGCTGCTTTGTTCTTCCTTCTGTGCAAGGAGTTCTTCCACGTTCGACACTGCCATGATAAACAGAACATTTTTGGGTCAGAGGGGCGGAGGAGCTTGGAAGAGCGCATCGAGGCGAAAAAAGCAAGGTCTGAGAAATGCATTTTTGCAAAAACGCCCTGCTTCGTGGTGTTTGGCAATGGATACGTACGTCGACTGGATAGGTCGTCTTGTGGTGGCTGCTGTGACAACGGTGATGGCACATCCATGGCGGCGAAGGTTGGAGCAAAAGCACACGTCAGGAGGAAGGTGAAGTGAAAGGATCGACCACGCAATGCAAGGTGCAGGCTCGAGAAAAAACAAATTGCAACACAGCCAAAGCCAAAGTCAAAGCCGAAGCCAAGTGGTGGGGGCAGCAGTGGGGGCAGAAGTGGTGGTGTTAGTGGTGGTGGTGTCAGTGTTAGTAGTGTTAGTGGTGTTGGTCGTGGTGGCAGTGGTGGAGATAGTGGTGGCGTTGGTGTTTGTGGCAGTGGTGGGCGCAGTGGGCGTAAATTGTCGACAAATGCATGTGTTTTTTTCCCGCCAAAAAAATTCTTCACACAATGAGTGACGTACCCGAAGAGTGAGTGAGACAACAGGAATGGCTTGCTTTGCTGCGATGGTTCCAAATGGAAATGCACAGAATGAAAAAGTTGCTTGCTACTTGGTCAACGTTCTGTCCGCCAAAAATAGACGATCAGGGGTTGACCGTGCGTGTGTGTGTGAAACAGTGCTGGAGCAGTGGCCACGGGAGACGCGCCGGAGCACCTGGACATGCCAGTGAATGTGGTTTGTGGCCAATGATTGCAGAGGGTGAGGGAGGACGGGTGTTTGAGATCAAAGTGGACTTTGCTCGACCTGTCGAGTGATCGCTTAAACGTTGTACCGGCTGGTGGTACGGTCTATCATCACTGAAAATGACGCTGGAGGATGTGGATCAGGACAGGGTGTGAATCTGGTTTGTGGTCATTCAGGATCGCCGGCGGGCGGGCCGCGAGGGAGCTGGACGGGTGTGCCAGGGTGCGCAGAGGAGAGAGAAGAGGCGCAGTAAAGAGTCGAGAGAGCAGAGAGCAGAGAGCAGAGAGTCAAGAGTAGAGGGCAGACAGTAGAGATTATAGAGTAGAGAGTAGAGAGTCGAGAGAGAAAAAGGTAGAGCGGGTCGAGCAAGGGGCAAACCATGCCTTGCCCGCAAGAGTCGGAATCTTTTCCCCTGTGAAAAGGCAGACCTGGTCGGGCAAAGTAAGATGGGCTTAAGGTTAGGTAACGACTGTCTGTTATAAATTTTGTTCAAGGATGGGATGGCAAGAGATAAGACAAACAAGTTCTGGTCACGAGGCGCGCGCCATCAACCCTTGCCTCAGGGCGCAATATGGAGTGAGGGCAAGAGCGACGCGCAGCGCACAGCCTGAACGAACGAGAAACAGCTCAAGTCCATTTCAACCGAAACCCTCGGTTGAACAAAGGGCACACGCCCATACAGACATCCAACCCCATCCGAGGTACACACGCACACACTTGCGATCGAAAAAAAAAAAAAAAAAAAGATAGAGAGAGAGAAGGAAGGAAGCTAAGAGATTCAAGACCCGCGCTCGGGGCAGGCCTTGCGCCAAGGAAACGATTTGCATGATTGGTGCAATCCATGGCAAACCAAATAACTACAAACGACGAGCGACAACAGCTCGGTTGTCAGCCCATGACTGAGGAAAACAAGGCGGTTGGACACGCAGGTACAAGAGGTGCTCAGCACCTCCAACAACGAAGGGTATGGCGAGATCAGGACTGTTCCGTCCGAAGCCGATTCAGACGGGAATGGCCCGCTCCGGCGATGAAGCCACAGCAGGACTCGTATGCGGAGGCCGCTCAAACTTGAGGGCAGACACCGATGGTTGCACGGGCGATGCCACCGTCACCGGCGCAGAGGCTTCCTGACCGGCACTTGACTTGCCCACAACGGTGGATGTACCGGCCGCACCCGAACGCACACTTGGGTCAGACTCCGGCTTGGTCGCCGCATGCACGGCAATGATCGTCTCCTCATCCGCATGCTCGGGCAACGCAGCATCGCCACGCGCCGACGAAGCCGAAGGCATCTCCACATCCGGCGACTCCCCGCGACTACCATGCTCATTTGCCTCGCCCCCGGCCGATGCACCGCTGTCCATGGCCTCGGTGATGCGCTGATTGAGGTTGATTGAAGTCCTGCGACGAGGCTTGGCCGCATCCATCACATTCCAGTCCCGGCTTGACCGACGCGCAAACAGCCGAGACGTCACCACATTGGGTGACTTGGGGCTCACCGGCATGCCCGAGCTAAAGCGGCGGTTGGTCAAGCGGCTCCCAGCCTCGGGCTGCTGCTTGGCACGTTTCTCTGCGGGCATACCCGACTGGTCCTCTTCCAATAATGCCGATCCCTGGCCCACGGATCGGGCATGCTGGCGCAGCCGCGAGCTGGACTTGGGCGCCGCCGTCCCACTGGCCGCCGACAACGCCGGGCGTGACTCGACTACCATCGGCTCAGCCTCGGCCTCGGCTCGGGACCCGTTCGACTCACCAGCAGCGCGGTCTTCGGCCCGCGCCTCCGCGCCACCAGGCTTGCCCTCCTCCGACTCGCCTGCCTCGGTCCGCGACGTAAAAGGATCCATGCTCCCACCCATCCGAGGCGAAAACATGGCGTTGAACAAATTGAGCGCCGACTGAGGCATGCTCGAACCCAGTGGACTCATCAAAAACGGCAGCGGCGAGTTGGTGTACAGGTTGGGCAGCGGACTCGGAGCCACTGCCAGCACAATAAACCACATCTGGTCAATTCCCAGAGAGAAGACAACAAGAACAAGGAGGCTGCTGAAACAAGACGAGTGAAACGTTGGCGTCAGTATCACGTACCGAGGATGGAGCCGTCATGCCCATGCATAGCGGGCGACACCGGATACATGCCCGGAAAAGGCTGCAGTGATGCGGTCGCGTCCGTCTCATCGTTTGTGTTTCCGGAAGCAGCCCCGGCCTTGCTCCCCCGTGGCCCGTCGTTTGAAGCAGCCCCCTTCATCACCTACATCAACACCAAGCATGCCACCATCGCCATCAGACAAGATGACCGGATGGCAGCAACGAAAATCATTTTTGCTCCGACGGCAGAGCAGCCAAAGTGCAAACCGTACATCGGTGGCCGCAAAGCGCGCTGTGGGGCTTTGAAAGAGATCGGCCATCTGCTGAATATCGCGAAAGTCCAGGTTCATTCGCGCCGAACGCGCATCTTGATCCTGGCCCGTCCCAAACATGTCAGAATTGCTATTCTGACCCAACATGGGCGACTATGCAGTGTCGGCAGTAGAACATGATGAGCACACTGTCGCAGGAGCTACCACCCCACCCCGAGCACAGCCTACACCCTCGCCGTCAACGCACCGTCAAAAGGCCAAAAGGAGTCGGAAGAGACGTAAACAATCCACTGTGTAGCAAGGCCGCGGACGGCGACTCCATGGGTGTCTGCCCGGTACTCCCTAATTCAAGATGCGCACACGCATCAGTACCAGTTCAAAGCACTGGTAATCTCTCAAAACCCCACAACGTGGAAACACAACACCACACGAGCTATTGGTTCGAGAGCATGTACGCACCAGCGTGGCGAGCACGAGGCATCATGGGCGAGAGCACAATGTCCAAGAGTGGGTAGGCCGACGCAAATTCTTTCTGCAAAGGAGTGGCCACGAGCACGTTGGGCTGCTGCTTGGTCGGCGTGCTGGGGGCTTCAGGATCTGCATCGGTGGCGTCTGATTGCCCGGTCGCAGCCCGCGAGGCCGCCGACTGGTTGGCGACTGCTGATTCACTCACTGGAGGCATTCCGCCGTGGCTGGGCGGCCCTCGTGCCGAAAGCGAGGCCCACACATCCTGCAAGCACTCAACCAGTTGCTGCGGAATATCCGGTGGTCGCAGCGGTGAGGGTCCTGTGACCGACTCGCCAAATGCGCGCTTGGGAGGTGGTGGCAAGCCGCCCGTTGCTGCATTCAACAGACAATGCCATAATCAAAGAAAAATAGCAAGACAGTGAGCTGATTGAAAACCATTCAACTCAAAAGTCAATGATCGAAAACACGCCGTGTCTCGCAGGGCAGGCGACACTTACAAGCCAGAGCGTCGAGACCCGTGGCAGACGCATGGGCCGCGGCCTTGCTGTCTTCTTGCGCCTTGGGATGCCGGGAGCGATGCTTGGTATGACGAGGACGGGGCTCAGCAAACTGCTCGCTGGCCTCCACGTGGTCATGAGGGCGTAGATTTTGCCGAGCCTGCTCGGCCATGGAAGTAATAATGTCGAGCGCAGCCTGACCAGCTGATGCAGGAACGGCCATGCCGGCCGCGCGCAAAGCGTCCAACTGCAGAGCGTAGTAATTGCGAATTTGCTGCAGTTGCGGATCGTTGCTACCCGTGCCGTCGGGCTGGGTGGCCGAGGCCAGCTCACGCTCGAGCAAGCTGGATCCGCCGTGCTCGGTGTTGCTGTTACCCGTCTGACTGTCGGTATGCACGCGCGACAACAGATTGGGCATTTGCTGAAGCAGCATTTGGTGACCCCGCGAGCGATCGGTAGCCGTGATGGGAGCCGGATGCACCTGCACCACCGTAGGCTCGGATGGAGGCGAGGGCTGGCGCTGGTGGGCTGCCGGTGGGCTGGGTGGATGCATGTTTTGGTGCTGGCCCTGACTTTGCGCTTCGCTGATGAGGCGTTGAATAACAGCTGGGTCAATGTTGAGGTTGCGGGGAACCATGACGGGGCGGCCGTTCAATGTGGCCACGAACTGCATGTCCGCGGGAACTCCATCGAGACCGTCTGCGGGTGCGCTCATGGCCGTGGGCATGGAGGACTTCCCCGTTGGTGCAGACGATTCCGTGGGGCTGGGTCGCGTGGAGGGCATGGCAAAATGCCCCGTATGCCGGGAGGTAGCATTGGCCGAGGTGGGCATGAGAGGCGGTTGTGGTGCCCTTGGCTTGGCCGCTTTCCCAGTGGCCCCACGAGCACCGTGCTCCACTGAATTTCCAGAGAGCAAGAGCTCTGGGTCATCAAAGTTTGGCTGCACAGGAATGGCACCATAGTGACAGCTGTCTGCGCTAAGAGCCCCCAAGGGCGTGTTCTCAGAGGCTGTGGCACCGTGCGCGACGCCGTTGCTGTTGCCCCCGAAGCTGGCACGGACAGAAACGGGCGAGGATGACTCAAAATCGGCCGATTGCAACTGCTGGCGTTGTTGTTGGCGAGCCTGCAAGCACCAGCCCAAACAGCATACCAAGGCGAGTGAGGACAGGTGCAAATGGAAGGGAGCCTGATGGGGCGTGTGGGATGGAAAGACTCGTACATTACGGCGCATGGACGCAGACCCGGCTCGGGAGGCAGACCGGGAATCTGTTTCATCTCCACTGTTGCGGCTGCAGCTGCCTCCCTTGCGCTTGCGCGAGTTTTGTTTCTGGAGTCTGTTCATGCGACGTTCGCGCTCGTCCCGCAGATAGCGTTGCCCATTGGCGCTGAGTCGTGAATCATCCAACATGTCCTTGAACTCTTTCATCTTGCCGGCACCTAGATCGCAGATAAACTCTGTTCAATATCAACACGACAAATCAAGTGAGGAGACACCGGCGACCTCGGCAGTGGACGACGTGCAGGGCTGGCAAGACGAAAAAACATCGTGACTCCAAAAGCATCGAGGCAACAACCACAACCCCTCCCCCTCATCACGACCTGCGGCCCGAAACAAAAGGTTCGGTTGAAGCGCCAATACGCACCAGGCAGCCGTTGTTGTTCACGGCCAGGCTGACGCCACTGCTGCCATATTTCGTTCATGATGGCTTCCGAGTTGGCCTCGGCCTCGATACCGGAATCCTAGATGGCCCCGAGTAAGAAGAGTGAGCATTGAATGAGCACGCACAACGACTGGTTTCGGCCAAGGCAAGCTTTCGAAAGGAAACAAACCACAAAGTATTGTTTGAGGACTTCTTCGGGATATCGGAGGAGGTCCTCGCGGTCGATGCGATATTTCAGGCGACGGCGCGGGGTTTTCCGAATCTTGGAAGCTTGTAACCCATCGTCATCGGGGCTACCACGGTCGGCGCTGCGCTGTTGACGCTGCTGCTGCTGCGACAGGTGACCCAAGCTTTTAGGAAGGCCCAGGCCGGGCTGTGTGACGGAGCGGGGTGTAGACATGGTGTGGATGGCAGCCATGCTCTCGTGCATCTGATTCTGCACCGGGTGTAGGGGCGAGGAGGGAGAGAAGAGAGGGCATGGCAAGAAGAGATGAGAACGGCGGCATGTCGTGCGGTGGGTTGTGGGGAGGATGCAGTGTGTTACACACCGCAGGAGTTGCCGAACCAGCGGGGTGGCCCAGCGACTTTGTGAAGGGGGGGTATCCGGTGTCGGGAGATCGTTGCTCGAGCTCGGGCGCAGCCGGAGGGGCAACGGACCGAGCACCAATCATGAGGTGCGCTGGCGGCAGCCGTCACCCGAGAAGCTCGAGCTCGGGCTGACTGAATATAGAGGCCACCACCAAAGCGGTGGCGCAACTAACACGTTCCACGAAGAAGAGGGGGGCGATCACGGATGAGCTCAATGTGATGCCAGGCAGAGCGAAAAAAAGCGATTCGCAGCGGGGGAAGGGGCAGCCAGGTGGGAGACAAGTTGCCTCTCTCTCCCTCTCGACTCACTCTCTACTCACTGTGGTGAGAGGCAAGCGAAACTTTGGCGCCGAAGCTCGGGGAAATGGGAGCCCCAGGGGGGCGCGTGTCCAGCAGACAGAGCGCAGCGTCCAAGGAGGCTACGAGCAGCAGAAGATGTCGCAAAGGGTGTCGTGGTGGGACGGGGGAATAGGAATAATAATATGAATGAGCGAGCCGGGTAGGAGAGTGCAAACGCAAACCATGCCCCCCCTCCCCAAGTGGTGCGTCGTGAAGCGACTGGAGGAGCGACAAAGGCAAAAGGGCCAATCAGGTTCGTACGTGGCTTCGTGGGGGGCCAGGGAGGAAAACAAAACCGCAAAGATGGGGTTGGTTGGGGCAGGGCGTGTGCGTCAAGTCGAGCAAGACTGATGCTGTGGCGGTAGAATGGCACTTGTGTGGCTTTTGCCTCTTTCTTGACCGTTGCAGACACAGGGAAGCGAGGAAGCTGAGAGATTGAATTGGGGACGGTTGCAGGCAGCAGGTTCGTTCGTTGGTGGTGGGTGCACGACGGTTGAGGGGCGCAAAAGCCTTGCAAGTGAGGAGGGCAGAGGTCGACAAAAAGCTGTCGGTCAGGTTTCATCTCAATGTCCGCTGGCAAAAGCGCAGAACAGCAAGCAGAGAAGCGTGTGTGGTAGTGCTGCACCTGTTTGCCAACCGTCATGCCGCTTGGCGGCGCCAATTTGCATGAAACAGCACGCACGCATGAGCATCTTGCACGCTGGCTCGTCGACACGCGACCTCTCACGACGGTGAAAGCGGTCGTTGATCCCCCAACTCGTGCGCCGCGCCGTAACTTCCATGCATGCACGCTTATTCTGAAAGAAACGGGTATTGTTTTACGTACGTAAATGACTGTTTGATGTTTCAAACTTTTGCATAAGGTTGTGATATGCTGACTGCTTTCGCAGGACGATTAGGTTATGGTGTTGTAAAGTACAGTCCTGAACTGCTGTTGACATGTCGTCTTGGTGACCTCTTTTGTTTTCTCAAGTTTGGTTTGTTGTTTTCACTTCACACACACACACGCTCTCTCTGTCTCGAAGTGATCTCATCCACCTCTGCAAAGACGTTGCAGCCTGGCGTTCTCTCTGAAAAGACGTTGCATCCTGCTTTATTCTCATCCTCTCTTTGAGAACATTCTCTGACTTTTCGCCGTCGGCACCCCATGTCTCTCCTCTGGATCAAAAGGGCAGCCGCCATGGGGCAGGTCACGCCCGTGCCGGGCCCATCAAAGGACAACCAGGGCTGGGCTGGCCCAACAAAGAGCATCGGGCAAGGTGGCATGGCCCATAGAGGGAGCAGCGTAAAAAGTCGGCGGGATCCACGCGTCACCCCATAGGGAGTAGTAATACGTACTATGGCGCACAAAGTCGGCAACGCACAAGAGCAGCTCATCTCCTGTCTTCGACCAAGCTTCTCCAGCGCTGTCTCTAGTCGCTCTGCACATCACCATCACTTCAAATCCATGTCCAACGGCATCGCCTCTCTGTCCCGGCAGTAGCCTTTGTATCTCTGCTCTGCCCTTCAGTATCTCTGTGTCTCTGTATCCTGTGCCTCTGCTCTGCCCCTCTTCTGCATGCTCCCTCCTCTCCCTCCCTCGCCCTCTCTCTCTCAGAACCTTTCTCTTCTTTCTCAGAATCTCAGAATCGCTCTCTCTCTCTCTTAGAATCTCTCTCTCAGAATCTCAATCTCTCTCTCTTCGAATCTCTCTCTCTCTCTCTCTCTCTCTCTCTCTCTCTCTCTCTCTCTCTCTCTCTCTCTCTCTCTCTCTCTCTCTCTCTCTCTCTCTCTCTCTCTCTCTCTCTCTCTCCTTGTGCCGTGATCGTTCTGCCTGGTGTGACGGGGAGGGCATTGAGAAAGGCCGTGAGGATGATTGGGCCGTCGTTGCCTGCGATGGTGCTTTGCCTTGCCCTTGTGGCGGCCCTCGTCGCGCCCATTGGTTGGTACCCGCGGCCATGAGATGCCCCACCGCCCGCACCCCTCCGTGCGTTCGTCTTGGATGATGATGCGTTCGCCTCCTCATCCGCGCGCGCGCCTTGCTGTGCTACATCACCACCTCAATGTAGCTGCGGTTGGAGGCAGTGACGAAGCCCCAGACGATGCCACCTGTAAAGATGGCGCCACCCTCTACCGCGATGACACCGAGGAGGTATGCAGCATCAGATATCCCCCATCCGTTCCACATGCTCGGGCTGATGGATGCGCCTTGGACACGCGTCTCGTGTCTTCCACCCGTCCCGCTTCCCGCTGACGACAACCCACGATTAGATTGTTGGCTGCTACAAATACTTTTCCGACTCGCTGACCTGGACCCAAGCCCAGGAAAAATGCCAGGTACATCATGATTGCCTCAACCGTCTCTTTCACCGAGCGCTCTCAGCACGACCAACGGACGGTTGGCACCCTCACATTTACGCTTGTCCCAAGGACACCTTCAACGGCCATCTGGCCGCCGCGCGGAGCGAAGGCGAACACGATCTGCTTCTCGAGTTGACAGCCGATCGCACCACTTATTTCTGGAACGGCGCCAATTCTCGCGCCAGCGATGACATCTGGCGTTGGGTCGGCCACGATACCGTGCGTGCCCCTGTGCACAACCTTCCACTCCATGGACCCCACACAGCCCACGCCCAAGCTGATGCGTCAGCATCCACGGTGATTTCTTCGGTCATTCACCATGTTTTGCAATCCCCCCTCATCCTTCGCAGGCCGTCGACTTTGCCCAAGCTTGGCTGACCGGCAACGTTGAGGATACCGACTACTCTTCCTATACCAATCACGTTATTCTTGACGGCTATGCCAACAGCATTTACTGGCGCTACAGATCCGCAGTCGTGGAAACCTACCCTTTTGTCTGCCGCAAAGATGGTGCGTCCCCGACACGATCCCCCTCCCATCGTTCTGCATGCTGATTAGATGGATTACACTTGGCCTTCACCCTCACCCAACCACCACACTCCAGCTTGTTCGCCTGGAGAAGACATTCTCGACGGCATCTGCTCCCCCAATGCCGACTCGGTCAACAAAAAGACTGCTTCTCTGGGCTGGATTGCTGGCGCCGTCATTGGCGGCCTCATTGTCATCTTTGTCCTTGTCATGCTCTTCCTCCGATTCTACCACAACGATATTTACTGCCGCGTACGTTCATGCTTGCTACGCTTTTCCTCCCCGACCCGGTCCTTGCTCATGCTCGGCTGAACCCGCACGCAGGTCAAGGACGCGCTCTTGTGCCGCGGTGCGCGCGAACGAGCCCATTCGCAGCAAATGGACATTTTGCGCCAGGAAAACCAGCAGCTCAAGCGCCGCCTGACTCGGCTCTCCAGCCAGCTTCCGCCCGACGACGTGGCCAAGGTTCGGCCTGCAACCCCCAAAGACACACACAGTCCTACCACGGTACAGCTCACCTTCCCTCATCCCCTCCCGAGATAGATGATGGCCAGCATGGATACAGAAGAGGCTGATTTGGAGGCCAACAATGCCAACAGTAGCCGGCGCGACAGTCGAAAAGAGAGCTCGGATGCCATCAATGCCATGTACGCCCCACAGGGACCACGCAACAAGTGCGACCACACCCATGCCCACGCCGCAACCTCCGCTCACTCCTGCTTTGAATGCTTTTATTCGCGTAGCTTGCGCTCCGCCTCCAAGCGTCAGGATGCGCAAACCAATGCCAATGCGACTGAAACGGCTGGCCCACTTCGCATTCGACCAAAGTCAGTCCGACGCGAGCCAGCCCGCATATGCCATAGCCCACATCAAGTGTGAAATAACCGCTTCAAAAACGCATTTTCACAAGTCACTCACCTTGACCGTCTCGCCCCTGACACCTGCAGTAACCGGGTTGCCCCCATGCCTCAGCGAGCCCCTATGTCTGTGAAGCGTACTCTGCCCGTCATTCGCGGCCCGGCCCCAGCGATTGAGAAGCCCGCGGACGAGGACAAGGAAGACGCGCGCGACGCTGACACCGCTTCCACCACAACTTCCAACCCACCAAACGACGCCGACGATGACAATGATAAGCCTGACACCACCCCCAACACAACCTCGGCCCTCTCCAGCTCCACTGCCTAGACCCCGTATTAGCCCTCGCCTTGCATCTCCTCTTTCTGCGGAGCGCAGCCCCGCCAACCTCCGTCGCCAACACCAAGCCACCCTATTGCACACACACACTAAAAGCAGGGCTGTTGTGCTTGATGTTGTTGTTTTTGTTTTTCTGACCCGCCTATACCAAGACGAAGTGGCCTCTGGTGTTAAGCCAAACATGGTCGACTGGATGTAGTCAACCAGGCCCTGGATGTTTGACGTAGATGGCGTTGCCGCTCTTTTCTTGATTTTCCTCTCGCAGCCTTTGTCTTGCCCATGCCGCATTACAAAATAACAAGCCCTTTCTATGCATGCGCGACTCGATACCGTAGAAGGCGCTCTTCTTCCTGGAAAAAACCAAAAAAAAGACCCCCCGCACAGGACACCCTGTTGTTCCAAGCACCAACGCGCTTGTCGCTGTGATGGAAAGCTTGTAACGGCCTTGGGTGTGACACGCACCTGCATGCACAAGAACACCCCGCCCAATCCAAGACTCACATGTGACGATGCCCATAAAGTGACTTTTGGCAAGAAAAGAATAAATCAGTGTAAAGACGTCAATTGTGCACCGGCACGGCGGTCGCGACAAAAAACGCCTAAATTAGGCTCAACCTCCACAAGAGAGCAAACAAGGAGCAGAGGGTGCCGCAAAACTCCCCCCACCCGCTCATTTGCCGCTGTCCAAAAGACACGCCGCCCCAAACAAGAGATTGGGCCCAGCAACACGTTGGGCGCCACACAAGAAATGTAGACCCGACATGTCATGGAAAAACGCTGGTCAGAGGAGACACGTCAAGGCTGCCGACAAACGAAGGAGTTTGGAACAAAAAGCACCAATCAAGGGCTTTACTCCGACTCCTCCGAGCGGACGCGAGCACCACCGTTGGTGAGCTTGACGTTCAGCTGGGCAGCGCGGGTGACGAGCTCGCGGCGAGTGCGAGCCGACAGGTTGTGCGCAAGCTCGGCGGCGTAGGTGCGGTTGTGCATGAGCAGGACCTCAAGGTCCTCGGGGGCGCGGACGAGGAACTTCTTGAAGCCATCGGGCATCATGTGGCGGGTCTGAACACATTGAAATAGCAACAAGACATAAATGGATCATAACACATCTGCACACGTTTTCTCTGTACGCGCACCGATAAAGACAACGCAGCAAGACATGCTTACACACCTGCTGGTTGGAACCATAACCAATCTTGGGGTGCTTCTGCAGACCGTGGAAGCGGCGACGGAAGCGGCCGTCGATACCGTGGGGCTTGCGCCAGCTCGGCTAAACAAAGTGAAAAGGGCAGGCAAGGAGGAAGAAGAATAATGTTCGGTTCAAGCGCGGCCGATACGCAAGCTGAAGTGAGAAGGAATGGGGGGAACGCCTTTCACAAGCGACGTCTGGAAGAGACGAGCGAGGAGACATGTGCGCCGGGATAGCCAGCAGTTGAGGGAAATACTTACGTCAACACACTTGTAGCGGTCCCAGTGCATGCGCTTGAAGGCCTTGGTGCGCTTCTTGACAATCTTGCGGCGGTTAGCGGGCATCACCATCTACCATGCACAAATCAGTCCATCTGGTCAGAGACATATGCAGTGCGGGTGCTGGCCAGTCGAGGCGAGGATAAAAAGGCACAGCTTGCTGGTCCAATGGCAGGCAGCCTGCAGCAAAATCGTCCAGACTAAACAACCCCCACTGCTTCCCCATACAATGCAATCCACTGCTGCTCGTCCAATGTGACCACTGCCAGTCTGCGTCCCCGGTTGAGAGGTCACATTGGTCCGAGCAGCAGCGACGCCGGTCACGCAACCGAGATGTCTGCATCGTGGCAGCCACCAGCACAACCATCCCTCGTCACGCCCTTCACGTCACCATGCCGCTTCACCCTTTGACAGCAACAATCACTCTCCATCAAAGCGTTCCCTCCCCCGCTGCCACAGCTTCGCCGTCAAACGTTGACACAGGTACATGCGCGCGCGAGCACGACGGCCGCGCCTCGGCGGCCAGACGACCGACGGGGCCTCGCTCTCACCTTGACGGTCTTTTGGTGGCGATGGCCTAAAAAAAAGTGGCGACCACGGGTTCAAACCACGAGGATGAAACGCTGTTGACAACACGTGGAGTAAATTGGTGTTTCGTGGTCGTTGAAATGTCAGATTAATTTGATCCACTCGTCTTTTTTTTCTCTCTCTCTCTCTCTCAGAGCTCTCTCTCAAGCTCAAGCTCTCTCAAGCTCTCTCAAACTCTCTCTCTCAAGCTCTCTCAAACTCTCTCAAACTCTCTCAAGCTCTTTCTCTCAAGCTCTTTCTCTCAAGCTCTCTCAAGCTCTCGCTCTCAAGCTCTCTCTCTCTCAAGCTCTCTCAAAATCTCTCTCTCCCTCTAACTCTCTCTCTCTGAAACTCTCTCTTCTCTCTGAAACTCTCTCTCTCTCTCTGAAACTCTCTCTCTCTTAGGTTGCTGTGTTCGACCAGTTGTGCATCACAGGCATTGGCATTATTGAGGATGATGGGCCCTTTGAACCCCGCTGTTTGGTGTTCAAGAAGAGATTCTTTTTGATTCCGTGCAACTCGGGATTGGATTAACATGATTGAGGGGCAGGCATCTTGCATCCACGCGAGACGGTTTTGTTTTGAGCATGTTGGTCGTAAGAAGAGCGGGGGCCTTTGCCCAGCACTTCTCGCAATATCAAAATGGAAGGAAAAAGTGAAGGACGGGCAAATGACAGAGGACTCAACACAAAGAAATAAAAGGAAAAGTTATCCCTGCGAGAAGTTGGCAGGGGCGCGCAATTCATTGACGGAGATGGAGGAGAGAGAAAAGCTTCTTGACTCTAGGCACTGCCGTAGTCGGCGCTGCGGCGACTGTAGACCTCACGCACAAAGTCTGCATGACTCGCGTAGAGGGCCATGTCTGGCGTCACCTTGACCCAGGCGACCTGCGACCGATGCCACAAGACAGTGAGGTTACATTGGCCTACATGGATCAGAGAGAAATGCTGGGAAGAGGGGAAGCGGTTACGGGCATGACCACGAAATTGACATACCGAGCCGGCATCATCGCCTGCCGTCAGGTTAAAATGGCCAAAGGCGCTACCGGTCTTGTCGTGAAAGTTGACGGCCACCTGAGCAGAGACAGCCAACCTCGTCAAATTGATCCGTGCCAGATGGGGAGCAGTCATTTGAAGAAGACAGCGCAAAACATACCGTCTCCATCCAAGCATTGTCAGTGTTGCGAGGATCGTCGACGTAGCCACGATAAATCTCATCGCCGTTCTGGAAGATGCGATCTACCACCGCCTTGAGCGTTTCTCGCTGAGCACGTAGAAATGAAGACGGTGAGGGAAGGTGTGCAATCAGAGAAAAAAAAAAGGTGGGGGCGGGGGGTCGAGAACTGGAGGCGTGCGCGCGGGCAGAGCACGTACGGCGACTTCGTCGGCTTCGAGACTGTTGAGCGCCTCTTCACCAAATTCCTTTTTCAGGGTCACCGAAACAGTGTCGCCAGCCTCGACCATACCACCCGGTAAAGCCCATTCGCCTGCGCAGGAGCAAGTCGTTCGACAAGTCATGAGTCGAAGGAAAGCCGGTGCAGGTGAACCGGTGCAGGTGAGATGTGCGGAATGCGCCATGAGCATACCAGTGTCCTTGCGCTTGATAAAGACAATCTCAAGCACGGGTTGGCCCTCCTCGTCCCGAGCAACTTCGCCGTTGGCAAGGCGTTGCCAACGTGATACCACGGGGTCTGCGGCATGATTGGGGCCAAACTTGCCAAGCAGGCCGCGGCCACGCATACCGGTACGGCCATGCAAGTTGCTGCCGGGACAAATCGGACCAACAAATAAAAGAAAATGAGGTTACAAGGCGGTGAAGTGAGGCGGAGAAGCAACGACGCATGAAGAAGAAGGCATGGCAAGCATGAATCAATCTCCCCAAGGAGTCACATGTCGAAAACCAGCGGGTGCGGGGATGGAGCGCGGGCAGCAGACGTACATGGGACGCGATGTGTCTTTCTCGATCTCATAGGTGCCATCAAAGCTGACGCGGTTGGTGTCACCGTCAAGGGCGTTAAACTTGAATTCGGCAATCTTGTCCTCATCATCGGCCCAAACAGGTTTGTTCGCTACAACAGGAGCCGTGTATTCGACCGGCGCGTACTCTGGAAAGTCCACCTTCCATGGGCCAAACAAGTGGGAGATGAGCACGCACACGAGAAAGGAAGAAAAAAGGGATTGAGGCAGCCACAACCGGGGTATGAGGTAGCCAACTGCTGAACCGTACAGAAAAAGGAACTTTGTCGTCGGGCACTTCAAAGCGTTCAGGCCCCCCCTGATAAGGGGATGTCCTTGCTTTTACATGAGGGCCCTAATTTTCAAGCGCAACGGCGCATGTCAACAAGCACAAAGCAAAACCACACAGGCATGAGGAATAAGGCTTGACGTGCAAGTGATGAGCGGGGGGGCACGGGCGCAGTGAAAGGAGGCAAAGAGGCAGGGAAGATCGGGGCAGGCGGGCAAGGCACCAAACGATGTATTGAAAGCATGTCCAACAATCTGAATGACGTACGGGCATGGCAACGGTCGAAAAGTGGCGGACTAAGGAGCGCGGCCGACAGGGAACGGAATTGACCAACAAGTCGGGAGCCGAAAAGCAGCGAGTCGTGACGACAAAGCCAGCGCTTGATCTGTGGCGGATCGTTGACCAGCTGGCAGGCAAGCCCGATGCGACAAACGACCGGGTCCGACGATACACGGAGCAGCTCCACTGACGCAGCAGCATTCAGCTAAAAAAAAAAAAAGTCAAAAAGTGAGAGAGTGGACGCAGGGGCGGGAAGCAACGAGAGAGGGGTGAAAGAATGGTGAGTCCATGAAGAGATGGTGCCGAAAAGAGAGATGAAACGAGAGAGACGAGGTGGCACAGGAAGTCGTGGCTGCCATTTTGAAGCAAACCGTCAACGTGGTACAGAGACAAGGAACGACCACACACACACAAGCAGAGATGGACAACAAAAGAGAGACCAGAGACACAGAGAGAGACAGAGAGGCGATAGAGAGCGATAAAGAGAGAGAGAGAGACGAAGAAAGAGAGAGGGGGCGGGCACTTACAGAGGGAGGGAGGGAGAGGTGTGGAAGTGGACGCTGCCGTTTCGAGTGCTGTCCCCTTGAAAAATAAAGCACCGCAGAGACCACACGCAAACCGTGAAGTGATAAAAAGGAAAGGTAAGCTCTGTATGTGTGTGTGTGTGTGTGTGTGGCTGCACGATAACGGACATCGTCTTAAAATAGAGAACGTCTATAAATAGGAGTGTTGCGCTACTTTTAGATGGCACACACGAACACGTAGCGTATGGGCCATTTTGAGCGAATTTTCGACGAATTTCTGCCTAATTTTTTGATCATTTCTATTTTTTTTTTTTTTTTCTCGACGGTGCCGAATCGATGTGTGAGGGACATGGCCATACACATGAGGCATGCAAGGCGAGGCAAGCCATCGGCAGACCAAGGCATGCAGCGAAGCTCATGTCCGTTCTCAAAACATTGAAGATATCGTGCGAGTGTCTCACCATGTTGCGGTATCGGCCATTACCGAGGGTGCACTCTGCCCCTGCCCTGCCTAGGTCGGATGGTAGTGGTACGGTACGGCAACAGATGGGTAATTGGTTGCAAGTTTGGCTCCAATAACAACCGTCCTGTAGAAGTTGACTCACAGCCACGCCCATCACAGCACCCGTTCATTGTGTGTATAGTGCCCGCCCATCTGGCCGTCCAGGTGGGGTGGGGACGCTTGGGTGGCGGGCGCGTCATGCATGGTGTTGCCATCACCCCTTTAAACCATGACATGCATTGTCGACGCCGACGTTTCTATGTCTGCCTGTCATTGCGTCCGCATCTGTCGTAGTCCAGTAAATCATAAATGTACATTTATGATTTACTGGACTACGACACTCCTCGTCCGCATCTGCCTGCGACCGTGTATGCATACATCCGATACACTTCTCCGTGTGTCCTATACTGCTGCGTATCGGCGTACCTGTGTGTGCGCACACATGTGCGTTCGTGAACGCCCTGTCTCTCTCTCTGTCTTCGTCTCAAACATCATTCCTAGTCAGATCCACACCGATGCGGCGCTGACCGACGCAATCCCGGCTTGCTCTCTGTGTCTGTGTCTCCGTCACTGTGTGTCTGTGTCTCGGTCTCTCTGTTCCTGTGTCTCAGTCTCTCTGTGACTGTGTCTCCGTCTCTGTGTGTCTCTGACTTCGTCTCTGTGTATGTGACTCCGTCTGTGTGTGTGTGTTTCTCTGTTTTTCTGCCTCTGTCTCTCTCTGCCTCTCCCTTTCTCTGTCTGTCTCTGTCTCTGCCTCTCTGTCTCTGTCTCTCTGCCTCTCTGTCTCTGCCTCTCTGTCTCTGCCTCTCTGTCTCTGTCTCTCTGCCTCTCTGTCTCTGCCTCTCTGTCTCTGTCTCTCTGCCTCTCTATCTCTGTCTCTGTCTCTGTCTCTGTCTCTCTGCCTCTCTGTCTGCCTCTCTGTCTCTGTCTCTGTCTCTGTCTTTGTGTGTGTCTCTATCTCTTTCGCGTATCCTGTTAATGTCAAGCAAGGTAGGAGTGTAGTTATCGTAGCAAATGAACGACATATTGATGGCTTATGTTAACATGAAAGGTATGGCCATGTTAATGTTTACAGAGTAAATGTATAAGATATTGGAGTTAGTTACGGAACGTTGCCATAACACCTCTCTCTTTCTGTCTCTCTCTGTCTCTCTGTCTCTGTCTCTGTCTCTGTCTCTGTCTCTCTCTCTCTGTCTCTCTCTGTCTCTCTCTCTTTCTGTCTCTCTCTGTCTCTCTGTCTCTGTCTCTCTGTCTCTGTCTCTGTCTCTCTCTGTCTCTCTCTCTCTTTATTCTCAAACCGACCAAACCAATTCATCTCTCTCTCTCTCTCTCTCTCTCTCTCTCTCTCTCTCTCTCTCTCTCTCTCTCTCTCTCTCTCTCTCTCTCTCTCTCTCTCTCTCTCGCTCTCTCCTCTCTCTCTTTTATTTTATTTTTTTCTGGAGCGACGGCATCGCTCGCTCGTGTCAGTGGCGAAGCGACTGGGAGCGCGCCTGCAACACAGCGGGCATTGGTTTCGCTCGTAGTAGCACTGAGACTCCCACCCAAGACCACCACCACCACCACCACCACCACCCGCACCACCAGCAGCAGCAGCAACAGGTGCAAGGGGTATTATTGTTCCACAGTCGGCTGTCAGCATGTTCGCGTTGCGGATCGCGTTGGTCTGCGGCTTGGCGGTCGCCGCCACTGCTACCGCAGCCAAGCCCGGCGAGACGGTTCAAGAGATCACGGCACTACCCGGATGGCCCAACAACACGGCCCTGCCCAGTCGTATGTTTAGTGGATACACCTATGCTGGTACCCCGCCCAAGTAAGACAGCTCGATTCTATAGACCGCCTCGATGCACTACCCTGCACGTGCTACATCTTCAAGCCAACCATCACCACCACCACCGCCGCCGCCACCACCACCATCTTACCTGCAACCTCATACCCCTGCCTTCCTCCTCTCTTGATCCCTTCTTGTAGTGGCGAGGGTGACATGTATGCGCATTGGCTGCTCGTCGAGAGTGAGAGCGATCCCGCCAACGACCCTCTGGTGATTTGGTACCAAGGTGAGCCTTTGATCTTTCTTCCTCATCCTTTGCATCCTCCCCCGCATTCCCACGCTGTCTACCAAATTAAAAAAAAAAAACAAGCCTCAACGCAGACATTGTCGACTTGAACAGGTGGGCCCGGCGCCAGCTCCCTCTACGGCCTCTTGGTCGAGTTTGGCCCCTTGCTTCTTAACCAAGACAGCCTTGATAACGACGAATACCGCCGCACCGGCATCCCACAGCTTGTCCGCAATCCCTACAGGTAAACTATGGATTCTTCTAAAAGGGCAAACTCTTCCCGCTTGCCCTGACGCTCTCCTTCCCACCTCATGATCGGCCCTGCAGCTGGAACCGCAAGGCCAACTTGTTGGTGGTTGACAACCCCCCACCCGTGGGCTTTGGCTACTGCACCCCGGCTGGGCCGGCCGGTCTCGGCACGTCCTGTGGTGATTGGAATGACGAGTTGGTCGCCAAGGCCAATCAAATCGTCCTCACCCGCTTTGTCGAGCAAATGCCCGCCTACCGCCAACGCTCCACCTTTATCACTGGTTCGTCCATTCCAAACCGTCCAGCCCAATCCAGCCCGAGGACAGCACCTATTCGGAAGCACCGTTTTCTCATTCTTCTTGTTTGTCATTGCTCAAACGCCACCTCAATATCATTTTTCAACAGGAGAGAGCTACGCTGGCGTCTACGTCCCAGTCATTGTGCGGGCCCTGTTGGCAGACCCCGGCAATGTCTCCCTTTCCGGCTTTGCCGTGGGTGATGGTTGCCTGGGTACCGAAGTTCTTTGCGGCCCCGTGGGCGGCCCCTTCTGGAACGTCGAGTTTATGCATGGCCACGGCCAGTTTAGCAACCGCCTCTACCGGCAGATCACCAACACGTGCACAACCGAGGAGCTCAAGTCGGGCCACATCAGCGCCGCCTGCCAACCCCTTCTCACGCAAATGACTCAGGAAATTGGTTCCTACTACAGCTACAATCTCTACGACACCTGCTACGCGCAAAACATCTTTGACCCTCTCCATTCTTCTCGCTCTTACTGGAGCCGCGTGCCGCCCCTTGCCTCGCCCTCCACCGTGCGTTTTGCAAGTGCCAGCCTCGTGCACCACGACACCACAGCCACCTTCTCATCCCTCGTTTGCCACACGCTTGCAGGTCACCGGTGGTGAGAACGACTACGCGTGTCCTGGCCCCGCACAAAACTTGTGGTTGAACCGCTCCGACGTGCGCGCTGCTCTACGTGTGCCCTCCGATGCCTACTTTTTTAGGTGGGTGCAGGCGCTTCATCCCAACCAAAGTGCCGGCAGCTATCCATGCAACGCTCACACCTTCTTTCATGCCATACCTTCTTGCCAATAATGCCAGTGGAGATAACGGTGCTGGCTTCAACTACTCGCTCTCCGAGCCCAATCTGCTTCCATTCTACAAGGAGCTTATTGAAAACAAGAAACTGCGCATGCTTGTTTACAACGGCGACACCGGTTTGTGGACAGCCGGCTTGAATTCCCAGCACACAACAGACAGACACTCATCGGGAAGACGGCGAAAGTGGCTACAAACCACCTGGCCACGGCATGGTGCAATGCCTTGTTTTAACCGTTACGCCATGTGCATAGATCCTTCAATCAATTCATTCATGACCCAGGACCGTTACACCGAGTATTTCGATGCTCAAGGTCAGGAAAGGGATCGCCTCGCCCTGATCTTTGCGTTGCCTGTTTGCTGATGCTCCAAAGTGTCTTGTTGCACCAGGACTTGGTCTGACCGAGACATGGCGGCCATGGACCATCGATGGCAAGCAGAACATGGGCGGTTACGTCTTCCGCTATGGTGACAATTGGCAATTTGCCACCATCCGTGGTTCTGGCCACATGGTATGTCACCACCACGTTCCAATATGCTCTTTGAGTGAGATGCATGCTGATCTCGCACTCTCTTACGGCTGTGGCTGACTGCCGTGGCACAGGTCCCTCAATTCAAGCCCGCGGCGGCAGCAGCATTGTTTGATGCATTTTTGGCCGACGAGCCTCTTCCCCACTTGTCAAAGTAGAATGGTCGAAGCCAGACTTGGCTGGGTCTCAGAATGAGTCAATTAGATCCACTTGAACCGTGGCAAACGACCACATGCTGCCACCTCAAGAACTGCTTGAGCAAAGGTGCATGGGCCTAGCGTCAATAACCCAGGAAAACATCCGTCAGCGGTCATGCGGGCTAAACCGCGCCTTTTCTCTTCCATCCGTGATACGGTTTAAAGATCATGAGGTTGGGAACAAATTAGATGATGTCAAACAAACACAAGTCAAGTGAAGCTGCCGTCGGGTGCAGCGTCGTCAGGGTTAATGAAATACACAGGACGTCGTTCATCGCAGCCGAGGCACAAGGCATGGCTGTCCATGGGTTCGGGTCAAAGGAGAAGTACAATCTCCTCACACTCAGCCCAAATCGTACATAGAGTCTACACAATCAGGACAGAGGTCCCGCCACGAAACGTCGTGTCGAAGTCCTGGAGTCAGAAAAATGGAGAGGGTTCAGTTGCCACTCAGGCACGATAAAGATCATGTGCTGCGCCACGAAGACTGGCGGAAAAGTTGGAGCGAGGGCCTGATGGTGCCGACATTGGCCGACGGGCGTACTGGCCCGCACTCCATCTGACGAGCGTGGCCAGTCGATGGGCAGGAATCATGTAAGAATTCGCCCATGGTCCAGGTGGCATGCAATGACAACGGGGCTGTGGCAGCTGGCCGGGACTTACCCTCGTGCACGGCTGGCAGTCGAAGGTCGTGAGTCATAGTAGCCCCCTGCTCGAATGGGCGAGGTCATGGAGGAGTTGAGGCTACGGTTGAAGCTGCTATTGAAGGATCCGTCCCGCGAGATGTTGGACGCGTTGAGAGAAGCGTTGAGGGAAGCTGATCAAACGGGGTTGTCCATAAAACACGGCAAAACAGGCATGGCGGCCAGGTTCATGTGAGTTGCGATTGGCATGAATCTAACAGGCGGCGATTGTGGCGTCGAGGGCAAAGGCGATTGCGACAAGGGAGGGATATGCGTACTGGCAGCAGAGGAGGTGTTGCTAGCTGCGGAGGAGCGAATGACAAGCTGGTTGGAGGACTTGAGAAGGGTACGTAGACGGGGTCGGAGCCGGGATTGCATGTCTTCGAGTTGGAGGAGAGCATCGTTGAGTCCACCGGTGGCAAATACATGGTCTTCAGGAATGTGGTGGGTGGTTGGGGAGCCGGGCAAGGGACTGTGGTTGGCAGGGATGTCGGCCGGGTCGATCCAGCTGGTTCGCCGACTCGCGGCCTGTTCTTGAAGATAGAGATCCACCTGGCGGTCTCCTTGGGCGAGTTGGTCGGCAACCATGCGTTCCTGCTGACGGATGCGCTGGTCCAACCGGTGCAGTGCGTCGACTGTGGGGCGCGCCATTTCGAGAGGTGAGCGCTGGCACAACGGAGCGGTTGCGTGGTTGGTTAGCTCACATACCACGATCTGTCAGGTCGGTGTGGGACATGGCCGCGGAGAGGGCCTCATTGGGTAGGGTCAAGCCAGGTCGTTCGGCCAGAGCATCCACCAAGTGCAACACCTAATGAAGGAATTTGGAAAAAGTGGGGTTCGCAAGCAAGGGGGCGGGGAAGATGAGTTGTTGGCGATGACTTGGGGTCAAAGGGCTACAGACTCGAACCTTTTGAAGTTTGTCGAGGGCATCGTCCCGTTCTGCTTCGATGGAGTGAATGTGGTCGGTACTGCGGGCACAAAGGCGTAACGTTGGTACATGCGGGGTGGCACGGGCGAGCCCGAGAGGCGACGGCGCCTTGTGCGTGTGTGTGCGTGCGTGAGGCAAGGTAAGGCTCAGACGTACAGGGTAGAGTGGACAGCTTGGTGGCCTTCGTGGGAGTTTTGGGCTTCTTCTAGGTCTTGGCGAAGCATGACGATTTCGAGGTTACCAGCGCTCATTTCCTGTTCGGCGCTCGCTGCATGATCGAGAGGGGGAGAGGGGGCACACGTCTTGATTTGAGCAGACTGCTGGGCGGGTGCGTGGGGTGGAAACAGGATGGGATGAGTAGCCATGCGTTGCGTACCGATGCGACCCATTAAGAACTTGTTCTCCTCGCGAAGCGTTTTCATTTCCGACTGCAGCGAGGAGGGAATGGTGCGATTGCGCAGTGGTGAGCATCCAACACCAACCAATAAAAAAAGGGCGAGGGCGAGGGCACGACCGACTGTCCTGTCGGGGGCTGGGTGGGCCACGGTTGGGCGGACCTGTAGTTCGATGATGTGTTGTTTTTGAAGTTTTGTGATTTCGCGGCGCATTTCCGATTCTCGAAGCACGTCGGCAAGGGCGGCATTGTCAGGGGTGGCATCTTCTGCGACGGCGTCGAGGCCGTGCGATCCGGCGGGGCGTTTGCTGTTGCCATCGGCAGCGGTTGTTCGGGGGCCTTCGGCAGCGTTGGGGACAATGACAGTTTTGTTGCGATCCCGTTTTTCGTTGCGGCTGAGTTTGCGTCGTCGCAGAGCCTCGGTAATGTCGCGACTATCAATGGCAGATCGGCTTCTTGCGCCCCGGACACTAATTGGCAGAGAAGGGGTCAGAGAGAAACGGGCCAGGCATGTGGGGCGGGACGCCACAGTAGCGGGAAGGAGGA